GAGAAAAATGACTGCTGGTGAGTTAACTTGCAGGTCACCACACCTCAGGCGAGGGGAGACGTTGAGAAACAAAGTCCTTTATGGTAACCTCACTGGTGTATGAATTGAACCTGTGCTTGTTGACAATACTCTACATTGCAAACCAACCAACTGAGCTCACCAACCCCACAGAAAAAGACACACACACACACATCAGAAACTCCCTTCCTCTGAGAACAGTGTAGATTTTAAGTGAACTGGAAATTTTGAAGACTGAGACAGCATTAGATTTTTGTTAAGCAAAGCACTCAGGAATTTTTAAAGCAAAGTTGGTGATATAGATCTGATCCAATGGTGCAGTAGGCTTGAGAGGCTGAATTGCCTTCTATTCCGAACTTTGCTCCCTTGACACAGAACTCTGGATGATGAAAATTGAATGACGAAGTAATTAAAAGAAGTCTTGTATATCTTTTTCATATGTATTTTTGAGAAAACAAAATGGGAAATAGAGGAAAAGGGCACAAATCGCGTTGCTCTTCAATTGAATTGAATCAAGTCAGACAGTGAAAACCACATGGGTTGAATGGACTGTTTCTGGGCAGTGTTATTCCATGATTCCATGATAAGGCATAATGAGTCCGTTTTGAGAACACGTATCACATTGTAGGGTATGAGAACCAAAGCACAAATTTGTTTCTTTTGCAAATGGAATTTGAAACATATCTCAAGTGGCCAGCACTCCATTTTAACTTGCAGTTGTTTTTATAATGATCAGCTTTGTGCAGTTAAACTTATAGTTTCCAGAAAGCCCTATTAGTCAAGTGCTTAAAAATTTTACCCAGAGAGGTGTTATGGTTGCACGTTTTCCGTTTCAGCATAAATTAAATATAATTTGAAAAGTGCAAGAAAATAGAATAAACATTTTCAGTCTTGTACCAAGGATGGATGAGAATAGTTCCATAGAATCCCTACAGTGTGGAAACAGGCCGTTCGGCCCAACCAGTCCACATAAACCCTCAGAGCATCCCACCCAGACCCATCCCCCTATAACCCGCCTAACCTACACATCCCTGAACATTATGGGCGATTTCGCATGACCAATCCACCCAGCCTGCACAGCTTTGGAATGTGGGAGGAAATAGTATGGGATCCTTTTTTAGATAGTGGTGTAGGGTGTTCTGTACACAACTATCTCTACATTATTATTACATTCATCCACATTTTCAATGGGAATGGTCTATGCAGAAGTATCCAAAATGTTGATGTCGGGTCTGTAGTGTGTGGGTGGGAGTCTGTGTTTTTGTCACTTTTTGTGTGACTCTGTTTCTTATTTTCAGTCCACACTATTGGCTAACAACAATGCGAAAGGGAGAGCCAAATGTGTTAAGGCAAAGCCTCCATCAGCAAGTGTTCTGCTGAGTGTCCTTGTGGTAATATACTGAAATTGTGTCACTTGTAGTTCCAAATTAAAGCTTCAGTGGCAGTTGGAGAAAGTTTAGCCCCCACGGACACACAGTGTGTAGGTCCACCAGCATATACCCTGGCACTCATGAACTAAACTCCCAAACATGGGAGAATAGGTCCACAGGCTTGATGATACCTCAACACTGTTGAAGGTTAATGGTGGAAACTGTGACCAAAAAAACCTGAAATGAAGCTCAAAGGTTTCTAATTACATCATCTTTCCACCAAGTCCTACAGATAAGTCAGTGCAATAAGTAGCACTCCATATTCCTTTGGATCAACTGGGAGGGACAAGAGGGGTCCCTGATACTGGGCAATCCAGGGTGTCCATAAATTTTGCCCAAATTTATGTCCTAGTGAGAACACTCCAATTTCATTTCCAAGTATTAACACAACCTGGGAGGCAGCAGTTACGAAGTTTAACATAGAGTTAATGTCTATGTGGATTTCTTAAGTTGCACTTACAAACACTGCAGCACAACCAATGGTGGAAGGTTCCAATTACAGTGTGACATTTACAAACAAATGAATTGACAGTACAGATTAAAAGATGAAAAGATATCATTCTAAAATTAGGACTCAACTGAATGACTTGATCCAATGAATGTCTTTCAATAGGCCCACTTCAGCTAAAAATTTTGGCACCTTGGCAAAACATCAGAAATGATTAAATATTTTATTAAAAATATTGATTGGAATTTTTTGGATAATTTAAGCTCTCATTGGAAACCTATTTCGCTTTTAAAACTGTACAGGTATTTCTCCTAAAACACAATAGTTGCGTTCTTGTGTGACCTTGCACTATAGAAAATTGCTTTATAAAATCACGTTAAGGGGAAATTGCTATAGAAAAATCACTATACTGTACAATAGAAAGTTCACGTTATCCAAACAGCGCCCACTATTCAATCATGTTACAGCCAATTTGCATTAACGAAACACACGTTATAGCAGAAATACCTGTATGATCCTTAGCTCCTTCATGCCAAACACTTCATTGGCCAATAGGAGCCACATGACTGTTTGTATTGTCAGTAAAAGTGATTACTACAATCCTTATTCCTTTTTTTCTATAAGTGATTACTACAATCCTTATTCCTTTTTTTCTAATTATTTCATGGAATGAGAATTCCTGGCAAGGTCAGTATTTGCTGCCCATACATGATTGTCTTAAATAGAGTGGCTTAATTGTCTCCAAATCAGTAATCTAATAGTTCAGGTTTATTTTCTTTACTCTGTCTTGGGATGTGGACATCACTGGCTCTAAATTTCCTTGAAGTGAGTGTTTTTAGGCCTTTTCAGAGGGCAGTTAAGAGTCAATCACACTACTGTGGGTCAGTTCATGCAACGAATGCAGATTTTCTTCCCTAAAGGACATAGCAAATCAGTTGGGTTTTTCTGATAATTGATGTTAATTTCATAGTCACTGAGACTAGCTTTCAATTCCAGATTTTAAAATTGAATTTAAATTTGACCAGCTGCTGTGGTGGGATTTCAGTCCATGACACCAGAGCATTAGCCTGGGTCTCTGGATTACTGGTCTAAAATATCACTATACCAACACCTCCTTTTTGACCTCTCTCAGCTCCAAGCACAAATCCTGTCCAGGGCCATTTGGAACAATTGCCTACAGTCTCCACACAAACAATTCCTCGACATCTGGTTCCAACACCCCTCCAGACTCACACTTGGAGTATCATTTATCATCCTGCCTCAATGCTCGGCTCTCTCCCTTAGATCTAAATTTGAGGGGTGGGTGCTTCCCCTCTCAAAGCAGTTCAGATGGCTGCTGACCATCAGCTACCCAAATAGGTACCAAGGATACAAGCAAAATACTACAGATATTGAAATCTCAAACAAACACAAGGAATGCAAGCAAACTCAGCAGGTCTGGTCCATCTGTGGAGGGAGAAACAGACGTAATGTTTCGACTCCAGTATGACTCTTGTAGTTTGACAAAGGAAGTATTTCAGAGACAAAGCATGTACCACAATATCTAAATAAAAACCAAAAGAACTGCAGATGCAGTAAATCAGGAACACAAACAGAAGTTGCTGGAAAAGCTCAGCAGATCTGGCAGCATCTGTGAAGAAAAAAATCAGAGTTAACGTTTTGTTCTGAGGAAGGGTCACCAGACCCAAAACGTTAACTTTGATCTTTTTTTCAGAGATGCTGCCAGATCTGCTGAGCTTTTCCAGCAACTTCTGTTTGTGTATCCACAATACATCACCATTTCCTGTCTCAGTACAAGCCCAGTACTTCCTTCACTGGCTGCTGCCAGGGGAGAATAGTAAGGAATTCTCAAAGGGAATGGAGAAATATTTGTCTCTATGAACATGTCTTCCATAATTGCGGCAACATTTTTCAAAGTTATGACCACAAAAAGCACTTAAAAAATCTTTGCCTGCAAACTGGAAGATATTGATTCTTACAACGTCATGATGTATTTTATGGTTGTCAAGCAAAACGTGTAACTCATGAGATTGAGGTGCTATATTTTGTTTGCTGATGATTTAGATTCAGTTTAATATATATCAGGCAACAATTTTCTATAGTAGACCAACTCAGAAGATTGAATATCATTGTTAAGTGAAACCAGTGCAGGAGATCAGGTAAGCAGTGGGACAGAGTCATTAAGAGGCTGATCAAAAGAGGAAGGTTAATGGAGAAGAGAGAGGCAGAGTGGTTTAGAGATGAAATTCCAAAAGAGATAAACACAAGTGATGAAAATCCATTGAGTAAAACATTGACATTTGAAACAGAAAAGGGGAAAATCTTCAATTCAGGGGCCCTGATAACCAATAAGAATTGAAACAGTATCAGATTTTTCAGTGGAGTGTGGCAGGGCAAAGGGCTGGTTGCTCAACTTTTAGAAGTCAACTTATTGTCATCCTTCAGCAAGTTAATCAGGATCTCATCACACACAACACTTAAGAAAGAATACCATTGCACTGGAAGCAGTTAGGGAAAGAATCATTCGATTGATTCCTGCTATGAAGGAGTTGTCTTGTGAGGAAATACTGGACAGATTGGGCCTGTAGTCATTGAAGTTTAGCAGAATGAAAGGTGATCTTATTGAAACCTAGGATTCTGAAGGACCTTGATAGGGTGGATACCGAATGGATTCTTCCCCATGTGGTGGAGTTTAGAACTAGAGGACACAAGTTGAAAATTAGGAATTTTTGTCTGCAAGGAGCAGTGGGAGGCCAGGTCTTTGAGTTTGTCCAGAACTGCATTTCACGTTTGATTGACAAGGGAATCAGTGGTTATTGGGTGGGAGGAGACAGGAAGGAGAAGTTGAGGCCACAATCACATCAGCCATGATTATAGAGAATAATGGAGCAGGCTCAAAGAACCAAATACTCTACTCCTGCACCTTATTGTTTTGGATATTGGAGAAGGTTCTGTCCTAACTAAGTGAATGCTTTTCATTTCAGTTGGGCTGTATCTCCTGCAGCCAGTGGTTTCTTGAGTGGCTGGGTGCTGTCACGGGTTGTGGAGGATGCAAGAGCTGAGTGAGAGGCAACTCCCAAACCCCAACCCCACCCCCACCATGTCAGACTGAGAGATATATGAGCTTCATCACTGGGTCAGTGCCTGCATTATGTCTTTCACCATCATCGTGCCAATCACCATCTTCTCACAGTTAATCGTTAGCTGAGCAGCTCCATCTTCTTTGGCTACCAGGGTAACGAGAACCAAAGCACCACCACTGATTGTTCGAGCAGCGAACCTATGAGGAAAAAAGAGACAAGGCAAGACAGCTTACTTAAAGGAGGTTTGATAGCACATCAAAGATCCCCACAAATCAGCAAGACTGATCATGTTCAATTAGAAAGTGCTGCATTTATGTTTAAACTCAAGATTACCAACAGTGATTAAAGTTTCAGGTTTTAAATAACCTCCGCTTCTGCACATGGCCAGGGAACACTAGGAATTTTGTTGTTTAGAACACAGGAGGCTGTTCAGCCCACTGTGGCTGTGCTGACCCTTTGTAATGTTAATCCTACAGCCCCCCCACCCCTCACCCTTCTTTACCATAACTATTTAAACATTGTCTCTTAAGATTAATACCTCAACTACTCTCTCTAGCAAAATTATATCTTGCACTTCAGCACAAACTCTATCCAGAAAACCTATCTCTTAATTAATGCTTTTCACTTGAGTTTGGCAGGGAGCTAAGTTCTTAGACAGACCAGAGCTTACTTCATGAATCCCTCAAGGACAGATAATAATTTATACCTGCCATTTGAGTGAACCCTATTTGCACTGTGGGAATAGTTAATAGTCCTAAATTATCGGTCTCACATTCCTGTGACAGTTTGTGTTTTGAGCCAATTGTCTTTGCTCATGGGATTTCCAAACAGGCTGTGACTGGTGTTACCACTGGTAGTCCTCTTTTAACGTTGCCCTACATTATTATCACTTCAAAGATGTTTTTATCTTTTGGGCCTACTTCTTCGAGTTATGTTGGTATTTCTGGTTTTAGGTCATGCTGGAATCTTCCGACATTGGGACCTGACTACAATCCCTGATCCTAATTTAGCAGGGAGTGAGTATGAAAAGACCATAAGACACAGACAAGAGGGTCAACAGGAAATGCTCAGCACAATTTCTGGATTTTTAGTCATTTGCATTGGCATCAGGTAGACAACAGTAAATTCATTAACAGGTAAATTAAGACTCAGATGTTAAAATGATTCTTGCAAAAGAATCCACGGTGATATCTCACCAGTATCACCAGCTATTTTTAACACAATGTCATAGAGATAAAATTACAACAATCTCTTCTTTTTGCTTCATTTTTTCTTTTGTTTTCTGATTTATCATTTGTGATGTCTTTTTTGTGGTTTATAGTTTGTAAGGACTTTAATCTATAGTAAAGAGGACCAGGGAATAAGGGCTCTAGAGTAAGTGATATTAATTGATATTAAACATCTTCTAAAAGAGGTAAGTCATGGCAGGAGAGCTCAAATCCGTGGTTCCCTGTGGGAAGCTGGGAACATTTCTGGTGCCTAGGGTCAGCATTTGTGAAGGATATATCTCTCCAGATGCAGCTCTTGAAAGCCCAGGTTTTAGAGATGGAGCGGCAATTAGGGACATTGTGGAGACTTCATGGGATCCGGAGGTCAATCATCTCAGCTCCAGGACATCTCTGCAGGAGTTCCTCAGGGTAGTGTCCTCGGCCCAACCATCTTCAGCTGCTTCATCAATGACCTTCCTTCCATCATAAGGTCAGAAGTGGGGATGTTCGCTGATGATTGCACAATGTTTAGCACCATTCGTGACTCCTCAGATACTGAATCAGTCCATGTTCACATGCAACGAGATCTGGACAATATCCAGGCTTGGGCTGGCAAGTGGCAAGTGACATTCGCGCCACACAAATGCCAGGCTGTGACCATCACATATAAGAGACAATCTAACCTCCGCCCCTTGACATTCAATGGTGCTACCATCACTGAACCCTCCACTATCAACATCCTGGGGTTATCATTGACCAGAAACTCAAATGGACTCACCACATAAACACAGTGGCTACAAGAGCAGGTCAGAAGCTAGGAATACTGCAGCAAGTAACTCACCTCCTGAGTCCTCAAAGCGTGTCCACCATCTACAAGGCACAAGTCAGGAGTGTGATGGAATACTCCCCACTTGCCTGGATGAGTGCAGCCCCAACAACACTCAAGAAGCTTGACACCATCCAGGACAAAGCAGCCCGCTTGCTTGGCACTACATCCACAAGCATCCACTCCCTCCACCTCCGACGCTCAGTAGCAGCAGTGTGTACTATCTACAAGATGCACTGTAGAAATTCATCAAAGATCCTCAGACAGCACCTTCCAAACCCACGACCACTTCCATCTAGAAGGATAAGAGCACCAGATATATGGGAACACCACCACTTTCAAGTTCCCCTCCAAGCCACTCACCATCCTGACTTGGAAATATATCGCCATTCCTTCACTGTCGCTGGGTCAAAAATGCTGGAATTACCTTCCCTAATGGCATTGTGGGTCAACCTACAGCTGGTGGACTGCAGCAGTTCAAGAAGGCAGCTCATCACCACCTTCTCAAGGGCAACTAGGGATGGGTAAGGAATACTGGCCGGCCAGCAACATCTCACAAATGAATAGAAAAAAAATCCACAAAGTCACACTGCAGGCTAAGCCCCCACAGACTGATCACCAGACAGAACAAGAGAACTAGGCAGGCAGTGCAGGAATCTCCTGTGGCTATTCAACTGCAAAACAGATATACCACTTCAGACGCAATTGAAAGGGCTGACATCTCAGAGGGAAGCAACATCAGCTAAATCAGTGCACCACAATTGGCTCTGCTGCACAAGGGAGAAGTAAAAGGTTTGGGAATGCAATAGATATAGTGGATTCAATATTAAGAGAATAAGCAGATGATTCTGTGGAAGCAAAGGAAACTTAAGGATGGTCTATTGCCTCCCTGATATTAGGGTTAAGTATGTCTTAGACGTACAGAGAATTCTGGAGGGGAAGATGCACAGTCGGTCATCAGTGGTATAAAGAACATAGATTTTAAAAAAACAATCAGGACCAAGCAAAATATAGGCAGTTAGGAACTAGGTCGGAAAGTAGAACTTCAAAGGTAGAGATACCAGTGCCCTGTGCCAGTCTGAGTAGAAATAACAGGATATATCATGTGAATACATGGCTGCAGAGATGATGCAAAAGGGAGGGTTTCAGATTTCTTGGGCATTGGGACCGGTTCAGGTGAGGTTGGATCAGTACAAACTGGCCAGGTTACACCCCAACAGGGAGGGTATAGGAACCTATGCAAGGAGTTAGAGGAAGGGAAATCAAGTCTTTGAAAAGACAGAAAGGGGAATAAGAAAAGCGATAGGCAGAGAAATCAAGGGCGAGGATCAAAAAGGGCCATAGTGAAAAGTAATGGAAACATGACAAGTAATGTTGAAAAGACATGCCCTAAGGCTGTATGTCTTAATTCACTGAGCATTCACAATAAAGTGGATGAATTAATTGTGCAAATAAATGAAAACTGGTATGATATAGTCAGGATCACGGAGACATGCTGTAGGGTGACCAGAGAAGGGAACTGAATATCCAGGGTTATTCAATATTTAGGGAAGACAGACAGAAAGGAAAAGCTAATGGGGTAGCATTACTGGTTAAAGACGAAATTAATGAGGAAGAATATTAACTCCAATGATATGAAATCTGTCCAGGTAGAGTTGGGAAATTAGAGACGCATGCAATAAAGGAAAATTTGCAATCATGGGCGACTTTAATCTGCATTTAAATTGGACAAATATCCTAGGGGATTTGTTCCTGGAATGTGCACTTCATGGTTTTCTGGACTAATATGTTGGGGAACCAATGATAGAACAGACCATCCTAGACTGGGTATTATGTAATGAGAAAGGAATATTGGCAATCTAACTGTGCAAGACCCCTTAGGGATGAGTGATCATAATTTGTTTGAATTTTTCATTAAGATGGACAGTGAAGTAATTAAATCTGAGATTGAAGACCTGCATCTAAATAAAGGAAACTACAATGGTATGAAGTGCAGATTGGCCAAGACGGACTGAGGAACCAGAGTCTATAGGTGTGAGGCTAGAAAAGCACAGCAGGTCAGACAGCAACCAAGGAGCAGGTAACTCAACGTTTTGGGCTAAAACCGCTCGTTAGATTGGGGGATGTTACTTAAAGGGATGACTGTGGAAAGGCAATAGCAAACATTCAAGCATGCATCGGTTAACTTCCACAGACTCGAAGAGTGGGAGCAATTTTGAATTCAAAGCGAAACAAAGGATTGGTTAAGGAAGGGAAAACAGAATAAGAGCGTAGTTTGCGGGGAACATAAAAACTGACTGTAGAAGTTACCAAATGTATGGGTAGAGAAAATGATTGGTGAAGACAATTGTAGGTTCCTTACTGTCAGAAAGAGTGGAATTTGTAGTGGAGAACAAAGAAATGGCTGAATAACTGAAGGCATACTGTGGTTCTGTGTTCACAAAGGAGAATACAAATAACGCACCAGAATTGTTGGGGAACTTGAAGGAGGAACTGAAGGGAATCAGTATTAATAAGGAAGTGGTGTTGGGGAAACTTAATGGAATAAAGGCTGATAAATCCACAGGGTTGATAATCTACATTTCAGAGTAATTATGGAAGTAATGTTAGAGATAGCGAATGAATTGGAGGTCATCTTCTAAAACTCTATAGAACAATTTCTACAAATTGGAGGGCAGCTAATGTAACCCCTCTTTTTAAAAAAGGAGGTAGAGAGAAAACTAGGAGTTATAGACCATTCAGCCTGATGTTGGTTGTGGGGACAAATGCTATGGTCCATTATAAAAGATTTAATAGTAGAGCACTTGGAAAACAGTGACAGGATCCAGCAAAGACAGCATGGATTTATGAAAGGGAAATCATGCTTGATAAATCTATTGGAAGGCAGATTATTATCCGAATGGCTATAAACTGAGAAACAGGAATGTAAAGTGAGACCCAGGTGTCCTCATATACCAATCACTGAAGATAAACATATGTGTGCAGCAGGAGGTGAAGCAGGCAAATGTTATGTTGGCCTTCATCGTGAGACCATTTGAGTACAGGAGCAGGGATGTATTGGTGCAATTGTACAAGGCATTGGTGAAACAACACCTGGAATTTTGTGTGCAGTTTTGGTCTCCTTATCTGTGTAAGGATATTCCTGCCATAGAGAGAGTGCAGAGAAGGTTTACAGACCGATTCCTAGGATAGCTGGACTGAGGTATGAGAGCTTGAATTGGTTAGGATTATATTCACTGAAGCTTAGAAGAATGAGAGGGAACTCATAGAAACCTATGAAATTCTAACAGGGCTTGACAGAGTAGATACAGGAAGGATGTTCCCAATGGCAGGGTGGGGTGGTTGCCCAGAACCAGGGATCACAGTGTAAGGATACAGCGTAATCCATTTAGGACTCAGATGAGGAGAACTTCCTTCACAAGGGAGTGGTAAGCCTGTGGAATTTGCTAACACAAAAAGCAATTGAGGCCAAATCGTTGTTTGATTTCAAGAAGGAATTCAATATAATTCTTAGGTTTAATGGGTTAAATCTTAGGATTAAATAGATCAAAGGATATGGGGGAAAAGCAGGAAAAGGCTACTGAATTGGATGATCAGCTGTGATCATAACGAATGGCGGAGCAGACTCAAAGAGCTGAATGTCCTCCTGCTCCTATGTTCTATGGTTTTATGTTTTATATGAGTGAATATTCAAGTAGCTTTGGTACAGAATTGCATCCTTCATTAACAAATTGAGTCCTTCTGTGTATTCAAACTTTGGATAAAGTTTTCAAATAAATGTGAATTTTATAATGTTTCTGTTATATTCAGTGATTTATTTTGTTCTGCAAGTTACTACTGCTAGGAATGCATAGTGCTGCACATGTACAGTATGATATTAGAACTTGGCTTTTCTGGGCAAGAATATGTCCAAAGGAATCTAACTCTGAATTAAACACTAATTCCTATGGGAATCCATGACACCCTAAAGCTGCGCTTCTCAGAAATGGAACCACAATGTTATTGAGGATTACCTGAACTTACATAGACCATAACTATGCCAGTGCTGTGCTGGAGAGCAAGACTGTACTGTTGGCAGCACAAAACGTTCATGTTGCCAAAGGAGAGACAGGTTGCTTAAGCTTTTCTTCTTGCACATATTAGGACAAATGCAAGAATGCCAAATTTCAAATGGTCACAAAAAACTTATGTTCCATGAGAAAAAGTTGCTGTTTTGTTGTTCATTTTTGTTGCAACATAATCTGCAGAAAGAGTACTGTGCACTTGTCCAGCAAAGGTCATCTCACACACACATGCATCTTATTAATTTTCAACTATGTGCAACAATGCACATTCAACACATCCCCGGCTTTCTGGCAACGATACGCCCCCACACATCTGCTGACTGACAGAAATCCAGAGGCTGGTTGAAACCACGCATGCTGCAACTCACTTACGACTCCAAGGAGACCTGTTCAACCTACACACTATCCATCTTCCATCTTAGCATTCCATAAGAAGCAACTTTCCCGATCAAGATCCACCAGATGACAGCCTTTGCATCAAGTATTGGGTAACAGAGGACATCGTTAACAAGTTCCTTGCAGTAAGCTCCAACTGTTGAAGGGCAGGCATTGCACTACCATGGTGAGATTGGGCCTTGCTAAATAGGTTCAGGGAAAGCTAAGGCCCATGTACAGCCAACATCCACTGCTGGGCCATCAGTACAAACCCCTCCTGCACTTGTGGAAAGAAACAAACAATGCTGCACATTACCAAGGAGGGCCCTTCTACAGACCGAGTGATGGACTAATCATCTTAAACTCAGCAAATTATTTTGGGAATTTGCATTCTCTGAATAAATAACATTGCTTCTCTGCTGTTTTTCCAAGGCAATGTCATGCCCAGTCAGAAACAATGTAGCAACCAAATGGCATACTGATCTTCTTCGTAGAAATTGTTGTGATAATCTTAAATTTGACACTAATTATCTCTCAGTCCACTTAAAATACTTTTCTTGGAGAAAAGTTTCATCGATCCAAGCCCTTTCCATTTACCTGTACTCATTATCCAGCCCACATGGCACTCGCCCAAGGTTGGCTGTAGACAACACCTTCTGGACAATGGCTTGGTCACTCCGGCATTTCTCTGGGAGGGTCAGTTTCTCCTTGATTTCATTCATTCCCATCAATTTTCCTAAGTCACAGAGAGAGATAGATTAAACTACATTTAGAATGCCTCTATACCCCACCCATTCCTGACCAAAATACCGATGTTTTCCCTGTGAGGAAACAAAATCAATGAAATTCAGGGCTGTTCTAGATTAAGCTGAAATTCTTGCCATACATTGAAAGATTGAGGGGACATTTGCTTTGACATGTGCATGATCTCCCTTATCCTTTTCCTCAACCTGTCATGTCATGTATAATTCCTTGGCTGACAGCATAACCAGGATTGGGAATCAACACAATTTTGTTATTCTCAAGAAAAGCTTGGGAGCATCAGTGTACTCTTTAGCTATGGAGGCATTGTGAAGATCCAATGGGGTAATGCAGTTGCAGCATGAAGAATGGGCATCTTGATTAGATCTAAGTTTAAACAGCACCAGGTTTTCAACAAAGTCTCAACCGCAGGAAAACTCTTGCTTTCAATTTTGGGCAGAAGAGGTAATCTTATTTGATGTGTTTGACTAGTTTCCCTGCCGTGTGGGTTGTTAGATAGCCCTGCTACTGGGGAAATGGGGCAGAGGAATGGTTTGGAATCCCTCAATGTGGGATGCCACCCATACAAGGGGCATCAGAGTAGCCTCCAGGAACTGGACCTGTGTCTTTGCAGCTTCTCGATTTTCCTTTCATTGCCAGACACCTCGCCCTGTGGCTTACCAGGCAGTAAGCACACAGACCTTAGACTGTGTTCCATCACTCAGTGCTGGGCCTTTCATCTGACTATGCCACTACTCCTTCCCCTCTGATCACAGCTTGCTGAACAATGGGATGGAGACAGAATCAATGGCCGGCTACCAGAGCAGTCTGTGAAATCTCATAACTGCAGTCACATGTTTCTGTATCAGTAGCCATTGGGTCAAGTTCTGTTGACCAATGTAATTAGCCAATTGATTGGCACTGCATTTTTCTTGGTTTGAGAGAATCTGACTTCAGATGGTAAAAAAGAAATGGGTATGGTGAATCATATGATTTTAAGAGGGGATTAGAGGGGTCAAAAAGAAGGCAGTCATCCCCGAGTCTGTTTTGCCATTCAATTGAATGATGCCTAAAACAGAAGTGAAATAGCAAATGTGAGAAAGGTAACCTGCTCTCCTTAGGAACCTCTTTCCTAGCTCATGGGATGTTCAATATAGATTTCTCTTTGCTCTCCCAAATTGTGTTCATGTTGCTGCACTGCCTTTACACCTGGGAAATGTGAACAGCCAAACAGCCATGCATCATTTTCCTCATGGTAAAACATGCGCAAGCAATGCAATGTTCCCATAATGCAGCAACAAAGTTACTGCTGAATCCCAGAGCAGAGGCTAAACCAGAAGAAGGAGGGAAAGGACGTTTGCCAAGCACCACTGGACTCGGACAAAAGAAGACTCTCAAAAGTGTAAACATGGATCAGGTGATGCTCTACCACGCTAAAGCACGGACAGTACAGACAAACACAGCAGCGGCGGTACAAGAAACAATGTGCAGCAGGATTTACATCCACATGGAGACACGCTGAGCCCTTTTTGTGCATCTACTCACCAGCACTGGGATTTAACAGTTGTTCTATGAGAGCAAGTGGGAAAACAAAGTGCAATGAGATAAAAAAATTGAACTATGACTGTGATGACAAGATCAGTTGTATTTCAAACTAATTCCTAATCTCATACAAAAGCAAAATACTGTAGATGCTGGAAATTTGAAACAAACTCAGGATGGTGGAGAAACTCAGCAGGTCTGTCAGTACCTGTGGAGAGAGAAACAGAGTAAACCTGTTGTGTCCGACAAGATTCTCCTTCAAAACACAATTCATACCAAATATAAATTCTGTTTTTTTCTCGACAGATGTGGAGAGACCTGCTGGTGTCATCCAGCAGTTTCTGTTTTTGTCTTGAATCCCATCTGGTTCAGTTGGCTCCAAAAGTGCCCTGGTTTCAGTTTAGATTTCATGCCTTTGTCATCTCCAGATTTGACCATTCCAACACAAGCCAACACAAGCCATGCTAATCTCCTACATTCTATCCTCCAAAAACGTAAGATCATGCAGGAGTCTGTTGCTCAAGTCCTAACTTGACTGCGCCAACAAAGTGCAGGGCTGGATGAACACAGCAGGCCAAGCAGTATCATAGGAGCAGAGAGGCTGACGTTTCGGGCCTAGACCCTTCATCAGAAAAGGGGGAGGGGAAGGGCGTTCTGAAATAAATAGGGAGAGAGTGGCAGGCGGATAGAAGATGGATAGAGGAGAGGATAGGTGGAGAGGAAACAAACAGGTCGAAGAGGCGGGGATGGGGCCAGTAAAGGTGAGTGTAGGTGGGGAGTTAGGGAGGGGATTGGTCAGTCCAGGGAGGACGGACAGGTCAAGGGGGCGGGATGAGGTTAGTCGGTAGGAGATGGAGGTGCGGCTTGAGGTGGGAGGAGGGGATAGGTGGGAGGAAGAACAGGTTAGGGAGGCAGGGACGAGCTGGACTGGTTTTGGGATGCGGTAGGGGGAGGGGAGATTTTGAAACTTGTGAAACTTGTAACTTGACTGAGCTGTGTTTCCCTATCCCCCTTATACATACATCGAATCCGGGTCAATACACATCTTGAATCTTAAATATCATTGTTGTTTTGAAAAACCCTCTATGACTTCACCCTTATCTATTTCCGTAATCCAACTCCACAAATCTCCAGGATATCTGCACTCCTCTAATTTTGGCCTCTTGTGCATTCTCAATTTTAATTGATCTACCAATTTACCATGTCTTCAATTGCCTGGAATTGTCTCCCCATACCTCATCACCTTTTTAATGTAAGATGTTTCTTAAAGCCTACTTCTCTTACCAAGCTTTTCATCAATTGACCTATGGTCTCCCTAAATAGGTCTATGTCATTTTTTATTTATAATGTTTCTGTGCTAAGCTTGAAACGTTAATCATGTAAAAGGTGCTACATAAATAAAAGTTATTATTGCTAAGGGCATGACATCACACCTGCAAACTCTTTTGACAAAAGGTCTTAGTCAAGCTCCATTTTCCAACTCATTGACTCCCAAGGCCATTGTGCTACCTCCCTCCGCCTCCCAACCCTGTGTTTCAGACCTCCTTTCTGAAGTTTGAAGGGCTTTGTTCTAACCCATTGCCCTATGTCCCCTGCTATTCAGCAATATTCAGCTGTAGCTTAGTGGAAAGCATTCTCAGTGCTCAACCAGAAGGTTGTAAGTTTAAGATCCATACCAAAGCCTCATAAGCATAATTTAGATTGGTGCTGAGAAAGTGCTGCCCTGTCTGAGGTGCTATCTTTTTGGATGAGATATCAAACCAAAACCCTGCCTGCCCTCGCGTGGACATAAAAAGATCACATATCAATAGTTTAAAGAAGAAACACAGGGAGGTTTGCCCAGTGACCTAATATTTACTCTTCAAACATCATGACAACAAACTGACTGTTTCCTCATTTCTGTTTGTGGGAACTTATTGAGCACATTATGGCCACCATGCTTCTTATGTTGCAACAGTGACTACACTTCAAGGCTAGTTCACTGGTTGGAAAATGCTCTTGCATGTCCCACGGTTGAGAAAATCTTTTCCTTACTTTACCCTTCAGCAACAATCCTATGATTGTCTCTAGAGAAAGGTTTCCCAAAGTGGGGTGAGTACCTCAAGTGGGGTCACGAACTCCAAAGTAGCAATGGCTGACCACAACCTGCTCTAACAGGCCTGCTCCTCCTTTCCCATTGTTCACTGAGGGATTGTGACAGTTTTCAAGGCTCACCATGGGAATACTGCTGCAGTTAGTGCCACGTTAAAATAGCATAAGTCTGTGCCAGAGCAAAAGCTTGCACCTCAGATTGAGAACCTTATTTCATGGTATTGAATACTTTCTGAACAGCTTGTAACAGTAGAGGAATCTACTCACTGGACAGTACGAAATAAATCCTGCAAATTTAGTGTCAACCCTGAGAAGCTTTGATCATCTGGGGAGATGTGATGTAGTGGCAATATCACTGGACCTAGTAATCCAGAAGCACAAGCTGTTCCTCTGGCTTCAAACTGCATCATAGCAGCTGGTGGAATTTAAATTCAATTAATAAAATCTGGAATTGAAAAGTAGTTTTAGTAATAACAGAAATCTGTGATTCTTATCCGGTCTGATCTATCTGTGACTTTAGACCCACAACAATGTTATCGACTCTTAACTGCCCTCTGAAATGGTCAAGAAAGCCACTTATTTCAATTGCAATTAGGGATGGTCATCAAATACTGGTCTTGTCAGCAACCAACCGCATCTCACAAAGGAAAAGGTAAAAGGAACCCCTGTTCAGAATATTTTCAAAGGATTCTTTGGAGGAATTATGTTTCTCCATGCCCTCTCATTAATCCCCCGTACTTCTGTTGATATTTCAGTACTGTTTCAGCAATCTTGCTGACAGCATCTTCATGACAAATAACCTCACAGTACAGCACAGCTGAATGTTAAGTGCGCATTTGAGATGGAGAGAAGTGAATTGCCCTGAGATAACACAGTGTGGAGTTGGAGGAGCACAGCAGGCCAGGTAGCATCAGAAGAGCAGGAAAGTTGATGTTTCAGGTCGGGATCCTTCTTCAGAAATTGGGGAAGGGGAAGGGAGCTCCAAAATGAAGAGAGAGAGAGGAGGGGTGGGGCTGGGGAAGGTAGATGGGATGGTGATAGGTGAGTGCAGGTAGGCAGTGGTGGGGATTGGTCAGTGAGGTGGAAGGAGCGGATAGGTGGGAGAGAGAATGGACAGGTTGTGTCAGGTCAAGGAGGCGGGGATGAGGGGGTGGGGAGATTTTGCAACCGAGAAAGCCCACTTTGAGACCAATGGATTGTAGGCTGCCAAGGCGGAATATGAGGTGCTGCTCCTCCAGTTTCTGGGTGGTGTCATTGTGACACTGGAGAAGGCCCAGGATGGACATGTTGCCCAGGGAGTGGGAGAGAAAGTTGAAATGTTTCGTGACTGGAAGGTGTTGTCATTTGTCGCAACAGAGCGCAGGTGCTCTACAAAGCAGTCTCCGAGCCTCTGCTTGGTCTCACCGATGTAGAGGAGGCCACATCGGGAGCAGTGGATGCAATAGACCATATTGACAGATGTGCAGGTGAACCTCTATCTGATCTGAAAGGTTTGTTTTGTGCCTTGGATGGACGTGAGGGGGTAGGTGTAGGGGCAGGTGTAGCAGTTCCTGTGGTTGCAGGGGAAGGTGCCGGGGTGGTGGGGCTAGTGGGGAATGTGGAGCAGACGAGGGAGTCGTGGAGAGTTTCCTTAGGGACCGCTCTCACCAATCACCATCCCATCAATCTGCCCCAGTCCCACCCCTCCTCTATTTACTTTGGAGCTCCCTTCCTCCTCCCCAATTTCCCTGCTCCTCTGACTCCAGCATCGGCAGTTCTTACTCTCTGAGTGAATTGCCTTGAGTTGTGATTGGCTCCCTTATGGTGCTGACTGCAGCTAATTCTTCCAAAATTAAACCTTCAATATTCATCAGCATTTTTGTATTCCAGCTGAAACCCGGGTCAATGGGCAAAAAGACCCATTTTGTTCACCTTCTAACAGCCACTTTACAATGATAATGGAGCTGCTGATTAATCAAAGCAATCAGTCTCTATTAATGAGAGTAAAATACTTCCAGACGTGAGATGAAGGAATCCTGCAGGGGAGAGCTTTAGAAGCCTTTTCCTTTTGGAAGTCCTTTGAAATAAGGAGGATGATTGTCACTGAGCCAATTGTTGCAGATATCACATGCTGATCAGGCAAGTCTCCTGCTCTTACCACTTGCAATTGGTATATTAAAAGGATTTTTGTAGGTTGACAATCAACCTATTCGACCATGTTATGAATGCACCTTCCTTGGCTATCAAGCCCTGGAGTCAGGTTCAAACCCTGAGCTTCTCGCTCAGAGGGAGGGAGACTACTTAGTAAATCACAAGACCTCCTGATTTGGGAACCATCGGTCCAAAGAGACCTGTTCACTAAACATCATGTCTCAATTTGTTCACACACTATATCCCAAAGATTAGTTCCTGGAAGGAATTTATCTAATTTACATCAGAAGAATCAATACCAACTGCTTCTGCCATCCCCTGAGGTCAAAGGTCATTAGGGCAATTTAGGTAGGCTCCAGTAAGGCATGTGGGGGATATGTTGATGAAGGCAGCGGTTGGGTGCTGCTATGGAGATGGCTATCCTGACGAGGGGTTCACCTCCATGGACCATAGGGTGTCTCATCAGAAGTGTCCCATTCACTTCCCCAAATATACCAAACCTAAAGTAAGGTCAACAAGGTTCACCAGGCATTCTCCTCCAGCATTGATGTAACAGGAAGAGGCCCTGAATTTGCTGCTGTTGGCTTAATTAGACCATAATATAGAGGAGCAGAATTAGGCCATTCAGCCAATCATACCTGCTCCACCATTTGATCATGGCTGATATGTTTCTCAACCCCATTCTCCTGCCTTCTCCCCATAACCCTTGATCCCCTTATTAATCAAGAGCCCATCAATGTCTGTTTTAAAGACACTCAATGACTTGATCTCCACAGCATTCTGCAGCAATGAGTTCCACAGATTAA